AAAGAGGTTGCCTAATTTGGCACGAAGGACAATGACTGATATTTAGCTCATAATAGGTTTGAAAAATGAACTGTATAAAATGAAGGAAATGTTCAACTTTGCAGTCACTAAACGACTTACCCGGAGTAGAAGTAAGTGTGAAGAGCGGCACAATAATCCGGGACTGGCTGTTCTCAGGGCCCTTGGATGCCAGCGAATGGGCTTTTGGAAGTAGGGAACCGTCACAATTACATGAGTAGATGCACTTTCCCGTGGAATGATAGCGGTGAATTTGGATTCACGAAATAATCGGTCAATCAGCGAATTTGACCTATATGCGGTAAAAGTAGTACTGAATAAAAATTGTCCCGGTACTCACTTGGCCGAGCACACCGGTAGCTTCGCATCGGCGCAGGGTCGCCCAGTGACTTTTTTGTTGAAAATAAATACATATACAGTTTGTTTTGATATTATTGATTAGAGATAGGCAAATACCAAACATATGTTGTTAACACTCCTGTTTAGAAGTCGAAAATAGGATGATATCAAAGGAAGATAACGTCACTTAATTTTTTTAATCTATAGTTACCGAGTTACCCCTATACAAACTGCGAAATGTGCACACTGTAATATAGGCGTTCTATCGCTCATGACTGGGAAAACTAAGCAGCTTTATTTGGAACAAGTACATGTACTTACAGTGTCTGTCTTAAGCTATTTAATCTAGTTTTAGATATATTCTTGCAAGTTTGGAAAGCATCTATTTTTGGTAGGTACTAAAACAATAACTTCAATTTGTTGATTTTATAGATACATTTCCAACCAAAATTATCAGGAAGTTTGTACAAATTTTTGATGACTCTTTTTGCATAAACTCATTTCTGCCGGACAATGACTATCAGATTTTGTAAAAAAGGGATTTTATTTGCTAAACATATATATTATATTGGGTCACATGAGCAGAAAATGGGCCTTAACGGCGCGGGGCTATAAGCTGCAAGAGCAAATGACGAATGGACAGGTTTTCGCTGAGGTGCATATTACATTTTTTCGTCGACCTCAAACACTTATATTCACATCACGGTCCTATTTACACGTGAAATACATCGGATTTTGTGAATAATAAATTTGACAACAGCACATGACAGTTGTCGTCAACTCACTCTCCGTGCGGACCAGGGTTGCCCGTTCGATTTTTATTTCATCAGTAAATACCTTCTCGAAAATTCAGTAGATTTCAATATATCTGTTCAAGATCTATCATATATGATATACGAATCCCAAGAAAGGATAATGTTATTAACCTATGGTGTCATAACATTATGTACTTTTAGTAAGTAACATATTTCCAACAAAATGGAAATAAACAAAACATACATTCTCATACAAAAATAATCATATTTATAATTCTCAATTCAAAAATACTTCCAAATATCACAAAATACAGTTACATAGGTACTTATAAGATTTGAGTATATAAAAAATAGGAACGAATAGTAAAAATGAACAACAAAAATACAAACTAACAAAATTGAATTTGATCTGAATCAGATGAAGTATTGTCTTTATTAGGTTCATAAATATCACAAGTACCTATGTCTACATTTATGACGTTTTTTGTACAATTAATTTGAACAGAGCGTGCCGAAATATGTAATTCATAAGTGGATGTGATTAACTAGAGATTAATAATAATATAGGTTTTCATAATAATAAATAAGTGTCAAAATATTTTTCAGTAGATTATGAAATGTTTTAGATCAGTAGATCAATATGCGAATCAGGAGATCTACTGAAAATGCAGTAGAACTGGCAACCCTGCAATAGACGAGAAGTGTTTGCGGAGAAGAAGTTAGTGTCTGCGGACGAAAAGTACTTGCCTTCGGAAATAGTCGGTATTTCGTTCGGAAATTAGAACGTGAAATATGATTTTTTGTAGAGGTCGGCGAAAAAATAGTTTATTTCATAATTATTGTTCTCTTGGTTCAAAACTAACATTCTTACTGACGTTTGATGAAAAAATTTGAAACGTCAAAATAGGCTTCACGCAAGTGACAGTCAACGGTGATCTAGATTGTGAAAAACTACAAAATTGGCAGCCATTGCCAGGGTTAATTAAGGCTCAATAATTCCCGTGGTACATAGATAGTTTTATTTACCTATTTCAATAAAATTTTGTTAGTTTCTAAAACGGAATAATTGTACCAATTCATTACCTTCCCGCAATATTTGAATATGGTAGGTACTGTTGATTATAAGAGTTTTTAGTTGGGAAATGTAGAGGGAATTATTGAATCTATATTGTCCCAAGGGTGTTATGGTCCTCTTATTGATAGCGTAACTATTGACGATTTAAGCTTATAATATGCCAGTCAGAAATAAAAATGTTTTGGCTCGTTAGAATGAAAAAAAAAAAAAAAGATTTTCTGTAACATCCAACTTCGAATTTTGAAGCGGTGATTTCTCGAAAAGTGTAACACTTTGTATGATAGTATATATATGGTTATACAGTCTGTCCAAGATAAGGTTGAACAGCATGGGGATCTCGAAAACGGTAGGAGATACGAAGTCGGTTAAATGGGGAAAAAGTTGCGCATTCGGAGGCTCATATCAAGAGCCTTCGTAAATTTTGGAAATTATTTTTAGTTTTTTAGTTATATCGAAAAAAGTGAATTTTTGGAATATTTATTTTATTTTTTTTTCTCCGTTATTATCAGAGATAAAAACTAAAAATACTTTTCTATAGCAACTTTTGATGACGTTTAACGTGGTGATACCAATTTTTCTATGCGACGTTTCGTATTCGTAGAACCATCATCAACTTTTGTTTGTTAAATACGGTCCTGATAATTTTTTCACAGATTCTGAAAGGTTTTTTTATTCTGAATTCAACCATGTATCATACAAGGTGATTTATTTGTGTTTCGACCTATTTTTAACCATCATCAATGTTTTTTCGAAATTACAAAGGAAAAATGCCATCAGTTCCCCTTATTCTGAAGGAAAATCAGTCAACACACTAATACCTCATCAACTGGTGACAATCAACAACCCATTTCATTTTGCGGAAACAAAAATTCCATCCATACAAATTCAAAATATGTCAAGCGCTAAAACCAGGCGATGGCGAAAGGCGCAGGACATTCTGTGAGTGGTATACCAAAAAATGTAAAAATTTTGCAGATTTCCCGCGAACAATCATCTGGACTGATGAAAGCATGGTCACTAATCATGGTATCTTCGATAGAAAAAATACACATGTTCACGAGAAAATGAACATTTATACATTACAGCGAGACACCAACACCGTTTCGGCTTTTATATGTGGGTTGCAATATTTGGTATACACGAATTATTGGTCCTTTTATTTACCATGAAACACAGACTTCCTTACGTTATACAAATTTGCTTGAGAATCATCTTGAGGAAACTCTGGATGATTTACCGATTGCGGAAGTTCAGAACTGTTGGTTTCAATAAGATGGCGCTCCGGTACATAATTCCAGAGAAGTTCGTTCGTTTTTATCCAGAAAAATGGATTGGTACTTATTCTGCAGTCCCTTGGCCGGCCCGGTCACCTGATTTGACACAGCTGGATTTTTTTTAGGGAATATATCAAAAACTTTGTACACGCAAATAGCTTTGATGATGAAGAAGAACTAAGGGACAGTGTCATCGAAGCATTCAATAGAATAACCCCAGAAATGCTTAGTAATGCGAGTAGTAATTAATTTCTTAGAAGCAACTGTGAGAAGAGTATATCTTTGTTCGGAAAAATAATGGTTATCATTTTGAACATTTTTTATGAATGTTTCTGAAGGTATTGTCAAATTAAGTTGTTGAAGTAATTCGTGTAAGAATTCATCAACAATTTTAAGCGCTGCATTGAATGATGTAGTGAAATATGTTTTATTCACTTTTCAGAATTGAATAAGTAATCCATCAATGCTTGACACTGAATGATCAGAAATAAATGGAACTGATGGCACTTTTCCTTTGGAAGTTTGAAAAAACATTGATGAACGATAGACATAGGTCGAAATACATTCGAATCACCTTGTATAATACATGGTTGAATTAAGAATAAAAAAACCTTTCAGAATCTGTGAAAAAATTATCAGGACCGTATTTAAGAAACAAAAGTTGATGATGGTTCTACGGATACGAAACGTCGCATAAAAAAATCGGTATAACCACGTTAAACGTCATAAAAAGTTGCTATGAAAAAGTATTTTCGGTTTTTCTGTATCTCTAATAATAACGGAGAAAAAAAAAATAGATATTCCAAAAATTCACTTTTTTCGATATAACTAAAAAACTAAAAATAATTTTAAAAATTTTCCAAGGCTTTTGTAATGATCCTCCGAATGCGCAACTTTTTCCCCATTTAACCGACTTCGTATCTTCTACCGTTTTCGAGATCCCCTTGCTGTTCAACCTTATCTTGGACAGACTGTATATGTATATTTCGGTCACATTTCTGTATATTTCGGTCACATTTCTAGTGATGATATGATTAATTTTTATAGTAGGCGAAAAATTATATTCATGCCTCTCACTCTCAATTATTGAAATCCAAATTTGGCATATTTTTTAAATTTTATTCAGAGGAAAAATATCTAGAAACGGTGTGGAAACAAAATAAATAATAAAATTAACAAATTATCAATGACATAATAATATCCTGAATTTCATCATCTTCATCTCAGAAATTTTTGCAAAATCAAATCTAATGCTAATGGATTATGGGTTCATCCAGAAATTCGAGAATATTCTGAGATTCTTAAAAGGATTCCGAGGAGCTTTTGAGATATTTATGGTAGCTTTTAGAATACTCCCTGAATATTGTTTAGTCATTTTTCGAGAGTTGCGGAAATATTCCGGAGAGTTGTGGAATTATTCCCGACACTAATTCGTTCATCTGATGGTCTATGATTCTTTTACTCTTGAGATCAGAGAGATGTGGAAATACCAAGTATATACTGGCAAATATTTCATATGATGTGGAGTATTCTTTATAGGAAGATCTCCAAGGGACCTGCGGTAGGACATTGCATATGACTCCTTCACGTTTCACCCGAACCAATCAATCTAGAACTTGGAATACCGGCAATGGTTCTCCTGATGCGATTGGTTTTCAAGTTGACCATCCTGGAATTTCAATTGTGGGCGCTGGCATCTACGGTGGCATCGGTCATTATGAATATGAACTGGAGCTATTAGAAGATGTAATTCATAATTTGAACTCAAATTAACAACATTCGGAATTATGAAAATGTTTTTTAGACGAGTTCAACAAATGGTTCAGAAAGCCACACCCATGCTCATAGGTGGAATAGTTTAGAAATCACAAGAGGTTCCTTTGGTCCTGAAGATTTTCCACCTGATATCATTGAAATAAAGTTTGATAGAGCTGTTCCAATAAAGGTGAGTCAAATCAAGTTATAAAATGATGTAAAATTATATCTTACCATTGGGATCTTGGGAAGCGATTTAAAATTCGAAAGTTTATCAAAATCTTACGGAATCCTGGTAGTCCCGATGGGTATTTAGGAAAGAATGTTGACATTCATTATGACCTATTTAATTAAAACAAATTTTCAACAAGAGTAAATTTCTGATCAAATAACGGTTATAATACACTTTTTCTAATATTACACTTGTCAAGAGTGAATTCTTAGTTTGTAAATAGTTACAAAATGAAAATTTCTTGTGACTGGGAATGGAATTCTCATTTTATGAACAATTCGATGCTGTAGTGATATCCAAACTTATCTAAAGCGCGACCCCTTCTTGTTAAAAATATTGTTTACGTCCCCCTACTTATCACAAACGAAAATTGCGACAAAAATGGCGTGCCTTGTATTTCACTTCACTACATAATTGAGATTGAATTAAATAAAAATGAATAATATAAGGTCGACTCCACATTATACTCCGCGACGTCTTTGATTATTTGAACATCATGGTAATTTTCTGTTATAATCGCGAAAGAGTTATTTCTCAATTTGCTACTAGGTGACATTCTTGAACGTTCTCGTAGTCTCGTTTTAGCTTTATATAAACGGCATGATTCAACAAAGTGGACAATGGCGTTTACCAGCTTTCGAATCAAAGGAGTATCTGTTTTATCTTTTCATAAGGTCATGACATTCTGTTGGTTACGTTTCGCGGACATGATCAGTAGCAAAGGATTGATGGATATCATGAATTTTCAGAGTATATTTCCCATCTAAATTACATCCCTCTCTGAACTACTTGAAAATTACACTTGATAATTACATATTCAACATGAAATAGTCATCCTAGCCTATTTGAAAATACTGCAGTAGTAGTTGGAATAAAAGGAATATTTACATGTGGATAATTCCTGATGTACTTTTTTATGCACCATAATTGAAAGGTAGGTATAGTATTAATTAATTATTATTGCATAATAACCATACTGATTACTAGTATTAACAAATGAATTCTTACTTTTAAATACTTATTGCAGCATTTTCAAAGGATTCGTCCTGTTGAAAAATAAAATGAACAGAAAATAACTGGAATAGGATATAATTAGATTAAGATATTTTAGATCTTTGTGCATAAATATCCATTTAATGGCATATCAAAGGTTAATAGTGTAGCCTTTTTTTTATATTAGATTAGATTTAGTTCAATTTGATAGTGAAGGATTTAAAAAAAAATAGGCACAATGCCGGTACTCCTGTGATCTTGTGAGCAGTTAATGGGTCGGGGTATTTGAATAATAATATACTAAAATGTAATGATTTCGAATTTCAAGTTTTGGAGGGCGCCACCTAGTTTAAGATTAATAAAAAAATTCGTAAACTAAGAAACCGAATTTATCATTTACTGAACAAGTATCTGAGACTGTTTGTGAGGAAGATAAAAAAATCATATTCAGCCACAATTAACATTTATTTTAGTTCAAGTCGGGGTAGAAAACAATGATTTCTATTCACCATTAATGATCGCCGAATAATGTAGATATACCAAATCAAATAACTTCAATGATAATAATTATTATAGCATCTGCACTAACTCAAGTTAGATGTTCCCTTAATGAAGTATATTTTCACACCTACTATAAGTTGGTGGTTGCATCTATATAACTATTTTATAATTTACCAATTATAAATATTCTGCCTATATATGAAGATTTTGGGGCTTCGCACAGTCTGTGTTTGGCTTCAAAATGAAGGGCTTCAAAAATATTATATATTAACCATATCATAGATCTAATTACACAATAGATGGTCAACGTATATGGCGAACATTCTGCCTGTGCGAATTATTTGCCATCTATTAGGTAGTAGCCGAACGTCTAAAAATAACAGATCGCTAATTTTTCATAAACCTTAGCTAAATCAGAGGGTGTGTATAATCTCTGGGTAAATCGTAGGCGGGGCTTGTTCAATGGAATTCGTGTCTAAAAATAAACAACGTGGCATCGTAGAGGGGGAATGGGTTATATGGAATTATAAACATCTCAATATGGAAATTCATAAATCGTTGATCTAACCATAGATATCTAACTAATTACGGACTAAAACGGAATAATCGGATCATGCACTATTGAAGTTTCAACCATGAATCATAAAACGATAAAACGAATCATAAGTATATAAATTAGATACCTATGTTTTATATAAGTACCGGATCTATGATTTAGATCTATGACAATATATACCCTTTCATTTATTCCATGGGCGTCACTACTGCTTGGCAAGGGGGCTGTGCAACTCTGGCTAATTTGTTTTCTTGAAATATTCAGGTATCTATATTGTGATGGTATGAGGTTACCTACTGTGATTTAAGTAAGCAGGTGAGTTTAGTTATCAGTAGTAATATCCCTAGGACCTAGGACATTGATAATAGACGAGATAATTTTATGACAATCGGAAGCTCCTTTCCAGGACGAGCTTGAGACATAAGACATAATATTATGACGCATTTGTCAATGTCGGAAGGATATTCAGCAGAAAATTTACTCGACAATCGTGTTGTCATAGTGATTGATAATTGCACTGAATGCAATTATCAATGTAATGTTGACATGATTGGGTGAAATTGTATCATATGACACAAAATGATGAAATTCGAATGGTTGTTAGAACTGACAAGAAATTTTCAATTAAAGGACTGTTGATGTCTTGAGTGTTTATGAAAATATGAATCAAGAAAAATTAGTCAACAGGTAGGTAGGTACCAACTAGAATATGTTTTTGTTTTTTTTTCGAGCAATCGAAAATGTTTATTTTGTTCTTCAATACTTTTTATACATTAATATGTACTGAAAAAATATCTAGCACAGATGTTTGTTTCTATGGACTTAACCTCACAAAATATGAACATTCGAAAAGGGATATCTATATATCTAACTACTTGATCAAAAGGCGTTTGATATTGACCAAAAACGATACGTTATTCCACATTAAATATGGCGCACGTCTCAATGTGGTGGACTTTTTCTTCTTAATCTCGAAAATTGAAAATTTTGCAATGATCATTCACTACTAAGTTATTTTTTCTTCGTTGTGAGATTGAAATAGCATTTTGGTTGTGCAACAATATGTATTTACTGGAATATTCACATCATATATATATAGGTACATTATGAAACTCAAAAGTATTCAGGTACTTCTCCAGTCTGGAAGATCATTCTGGAATTCAATTCGTAATAAAATAATTATAAAGAAACTAGTACGTATTACAGCTTGTTTTAATGAAATAATATCCAACATTGTTTAAGGAAAATAAGAGCTATCCAAACGCAAAAAAAAAACAGGAAACCTGAATCAATTGAGATTACCTCAGAAGGTAGATATACTTATAATTTCTCAACTTTTCAATATATACCTACTCAATTTCTGATGTTTTTTAGTTTCTGATTTTTTATTATACTTGATGGACATTTCTTTACATTCTCTATAAAGTTCACATAGTATGAGATGATCCACAATAAAATCTATGTGCTCTTTACATTCAACTCTTTGGAGAATTTGGCACTTCTTTTTAAAAATTTGATTTTTAATAAATAATCTTGTTTTATTTCTATATGGCTATTTCCACTTTTAACCATTTTTCGATATAAATTTGCACAATAGCTCGCTATACAGTGTGTCCCACTTACCATGCTCACCATGGGTATCTTTTTAACGGTGAGAGATACGAGGTCGGTTAAATGACACCAAATGTGGAGTTTGTCAAGGACAAGGCCAACTATAATGTGAAAAAATATTTTGATAAAATCTATTCGTTTTTGTTTTATACGCAAAAAACAGATTTTGATCATTTTCATGTCTCCTCCGTAACTTCTTTATTTATGAAAATATCCAAATAGGAATTTCACATTCTCATGGCAGTTTTTCAAGGTGATTTCGAAAAAAATATGAAATTTATACCAACTCTTCTAGAATTTGAGATATCAGCACCAACTTTAGTTTTTCAAATGTAGGTCATAGTTCACTATGATAGTTACAAATAACTTTTTTTTTCTCTTACAGATGATATGTCGCAGTAATAGTTTTGTGTTGATAACAACGGAGTTATCGTCATTTATACAAAAACAAAAAATTATTTGGAAGCCGCCATCTTGAATTTATGAATTTTAACGAAAGAATCATGATCTCCGACCTCAAAAACCACCACTTACCAATTTTGAATGGAATCGGACCAATTCTTGTCCGCCATCTTGGAGCAGCCATTTTTTTTTAATTTCAACAAAAATTCCATAATGTATTGTCACCCGAATTATGAACACCTGCCAGATTTTAAGTTAATCGGAGTTATGGATTTTTTGTTGAAATTAAAAAAAATGGCTGCTCCAAGATGGCGGACAAGATTTGGTCCGATTCCATTCAAAATTGGTAAGTGGGGGTTTTTGAGGTCGGAGATTATGATTTTATTGTTGAAATTTATAAATTCAAAATGGCGGCTTCCAAATAATTTCTTGTTTTTGTATAAATGACGATATCTCCGTTGTTATCAACACAAAACTATTACTGCGATATATCATCTGTAAGAGAAAAAAAAGTTATTTGTAACTAAGTCATAGTGAGCTATGACCTACTTTGAAAAACTAAAGTTGGTGCTGATATCTCAAATTCTAGAAGAGTTGGTATAAATTTCATATTTTTTTTCGAAATTACTTCGAAAAACTGCCATGAGATTGTGAAATTCCCATTTGAATATTTTCATAAATAAAGGAGTTACGGAGGAGACATGAAAATGATCAAAATCTGTTTTTTGTGTATAAAACAAAAACGAATAGATTTTTTCAAAATATTTTTTCACATTATAGTTGGCCATGACAAACTCCACATTTGGTGTCATTTAACCGACCTCGTATCTCTCACCGTTAAAAAGATACCCATGGTGAGCATGGTAAGTGGGACACACTGTATAACACGTTGGATAATACACACGTTATTGAACACAATGAATTGAAATACCTAATTTCTTCTTCTTATACCTATCTACCTGAGATATATTATTTACCCATTACCCCAATATCTATGCCTACCTAATTTCACCTTGCCACGCTTACCCCTACCATATTGTGCCCTTTCTTTTTATCATAGATCTAATTCCAATCAAATACGTATCAAAAATTCGACCCATACCCGAATTACCTCAATATCTACCTGTCTTATTTTTTATTCTCTGGCATTTCTCAACCCCCTAATCAAACTCAGAGCATAGATCTCTCAGAGGTAATTTCCGAATCTCTACGAATTCTTCCACATCTGTGCATATTTCATTTCATTTCGAGCGACATCCGATGCACGGGGGGGCAAGAGATCTAAATACACGCGGAAAGAATACCTATTAATTATTTTGCAATTTGTTCTGCCATAAGAATCTAGCAAGAGCAAGACGGCAGCGGCAGACGGCTTCCTGACCTACCGCATATAACCCCTTTCATCCCTATCCCTTCCACTTCTAATCATAAATCATTCCAAGCTCCGAGCCACGTCGTTACGCCACGCCCCATATCGTGAAGAACAAGTTGGCGAAACTGATTTTCCATTTCTACCAACAGTGTTTGATGCAGAAACAGCACCATCTAGCAACTCAAATCCAGTACTAAAAAATTTCACATCCAAATCGTGAGCGCGATAAATTTACACGGCGGTTGTCCATCTATTGTGTAATTAGATCTATGACCATATAGAATTAAAGGAAATTAGATGCAATCATCACCTGATCAATATTTGCTTGAAATTGAAATTTGACCCCTTTACAGTATTTATATAGTGCTTTGCTAAGAATAAACAAAAATAATTATGTAATAAAAATGATCTGGCCTTATGTTTGATGTGTCGTCCTTTTCCTGGTGGGCGATTCTGGGTCTAATGGCTCAATACTCCTGGATGGAATTGGTATGAACGAATAACGATGTTATTCAAAGCGACCTTTCTCGCTTATGTAAATGGAACCAAAAACAGCTCCTGGTACGGCAAATTTTGTACTTGCCGGTTATGATTTCACGAACTGACTGACTGGGGAGTTTTAACTCCTAGTTAGACTCTAAAAGAAGAAAATATCCCTGATTTACCTAATTAGAGATTTCTAAAAGTGAAAAGCTAAATACTAACTAGTAAATTTCGCCGGGTTCTTGATGGTAAAAAAATTACAACTTACCCCAACTGTTGGGAGCTGAACTAACACAACCGATTGATGGGTTGATTATTTCGACTGATAAGCGTTTCCAAACAAATCCCGTACATATACGGTAGGGAATTAAAAGCCGAAAAAAAAATGAAAAATGGAGAATTCAAGACAAGCTCACTTTTCTCAGTCTTTGCTTGCTGTCCGCACCGATTCTCCTCACCCGATCTTCAAATTTCTGCGCACCTGTCCCCTACTTCTTCCCAGACAGCACCAGATATTCCATGAATCTCCCTATCATATTCCTTTTGGAATATTGGAATATTCTAGAAATAATCTGGAATATTCCGGAATATCTGTGGAATATTCTCTAAATATGCGAATGGGAATTCCTCAGATAATCATAGAATATACCCAGAAGAATATTCTATGTTGAATATTCCTGGAATATTCCAATAAACATATTCTAAAATAAAAAAAAGTGACCCAAGTAGGGATCGAACTGGTGACCTCAAGACTATCAGAGCAACGCCTTCACCACTAGGCCAGTAATCGAATTGAATAATGTTATACATTTATCAAGTTCTTGTGACAGCATTGTTCGAAATCGGGTCATACACACTTTTTGTTTCAAAATCCCCTTACATCTAAATTGATGTTCGATACTCACATCTCTGAAATAATAAATGTTATTTATGTGTTGAGAAACATAGGAATATTCATGGAATATTTCATGAATATACACCACAGAATATTCAGTTGAGGATATTTCATGAATATACCGCACAGAATATTCAGTTGGGTATATTTCATGAATATACCGCACAGAATATTCAGTTGGGTATATTTCATGAATATACAACAGAGAATATTCAGTTGGGAATATTCCTGGAAGATTCATACCTGAATATTCCCTGAACATGTCCGACTCTTTACTTTGGAATATTCCTTCTAGATGTTCCAGAGGCATGTATATATTCTAGGAATAATCGATGAATATTCGGAATATACTCCTCCTTTTTAGCATATTTAGAGAATATTCTATGAATATCCAGTGCTGTCTGGGTTTATCTCTCCATATCACATCTGTTGGAACTCTACCATGAAAACTAGGCAACCAACATTGTGAAGATAGAATATTTTTCCTGGTCTAGAAACAACGTTGCCACAATTCCCAAAATGTACGATTATCTCCTTATACAAAGAAATTCATCAGGTAGCATTTGAAATGCTACAATAGGTTAGATGTCACAAAGATGTGTCTTTCACTTGAACGTGCGCATTTGAGCATGCGCAGTATATCACCTTATGCTTATGGATAGTCATTTGTTGTCAAAAACGGCTTCCTTTCACGCTATGGAAACAGCTAGAGATCAATATGTTACCTTTTGCGTATTTTTGCGTTATTTGTTTTCAAAAAAAAATCCTGTTGCTATCTGATTTTTTTTTAATGTTTGTTTGTGGGCAGAAGAATTTGGGACCACAATATTTTTTTAACTTTCTGACATTGCTGCTTTGTACTGATCACTTTGATAGGTCATTTACCTGGTTAAGGTTTTGTTCCAGAAATGTCTTAAAATTGTCAACACAAATAAGATTTTCAATGGAAATTAATGTTGAATGCAACTTCATTAACTCTCACCTCTGAGAGTGATCTCATGATTGCAGTATCACATCTGATGCAGCTCTTTATATCTTGCACACATTTTGGTATATTTTTAGTATTCTCAGATATTCTTATGTTTTTTTCAATGCAAACTTCAACCAAAGCGACAGTGATAGGTAATTTTATTGGGAACTGAAGAACATAAGAGAAAAACAGTGCAGCAAATCTCAATTATGCGTCACCAATCAGACTGCGTGACGCGAAAAGCAAAAAAGCTGCAATGGGAACTCTCCTTTACAGTATATTTTCGAAACAAATACAGATAAGTGCACAAAAACTGTCAGTGTGTCAACTTCTGAATCATTCGAGATGCGATTTTGAAATTTGGTGGGTAGCAAGTATACCAAATGGCTCATATATTGACGATAAAACATTAATTCTATCACTTCCGATTCACTCTGTTACAACTCCAACTTTCGATTTTTAAATGGGACACCGTGTATATTTTTTCTTATATGCATTCAGGAAATCATTTTACACACACTAGGAACTTTTTGCCTCAAAATATTGAAATAAATAGGGGGTCCTATTTAGATATAATTGAAAGTTGGGATTGCTTCTGGTTAAACCGGAAGTGATTTAATGAATATGATTTGTCAATGAAAAGCAATTCGGTATGTACTTGGTACCCACCAAATTTCAAAATCCGACCTCAAATGATAACAGCACTGGCCGTTTTTTGTGCACTCATCTATTTTTCATATTTTGAATAAACTTACATTATACATACTGTACCACAAACAAACTATCGCCCATTTATATGTGTTTATGGAAATGTTTCATAAAGAAATCGCTAATACAATTTTTCTTAATTTTAATAATCAAATGATAAATTGATATTTAGGATTTTATTGTGATATTTGTAGACTATGAATATAGAGCCAAAAATTTCTACAGGACTGAAAAAAAGTCAAGTGAGTCAAGGTCATCTAACATTATAATTTCATATCTCCAGTGTTGATCGATAGTATATTTAATTCTGATGTGGATTTGGCTGACAGCTATTTTTGGTCAAGCGATCATAAATAAGAGGAAATGTTGACTAGTTCCATTATGATAATATATTTATCCATTTATTTCATACATTGGCGAATGCTTGATAAATCAAAATGTCTTCACTGATTTCTATAATAGCTAATTCTTGGTCAGCACTCAAAAACAAACTCATCCCTGGCTTGAGCTCTCCCTCTTTCAGTTTAGCTTTTCCATTTATTACTATGAAAATGCTTGCACTCTTCCTCTTGATAGTTTGGTAATTCCTGGCAGAAGTTGGAACCCTTATTTCCGCAACTGCAAAATCTTTCACTGGGGGTTTGTATATTTTTGTAAAATCGTCCTCATTATGAGGTTTGAACAGTTTATCAATGGGTTTTTCACCCTTGTAAATGAGCATGGAGCACAATGTATCCACATCAACGAATTTTGGAGTCAATCCTGCTCTAACTACATTGTCGGAACAAGCCATGTTTTCGATGCAGTCCCCTGACAAATATGCATGTGGTTCGTTTGCTCCCAAATATATAGCTTCTGAAGGCTTCAGTTTCAAGTAGTTAAGAAAGTATACCATTAGAATTCCATTGTCATAAGGGAACTGACTGTTGAGACGTTCTACAAGTTCAGCTAGGAAATGTTCTCGCCTTTCATGGGCTAGAGTTTTCAGTCTCGAAATGAGACCATCAATTGTAGTCGTAATCTGCTGTTTTTCGCATATCAGTACTGCTCTGAAAATAATACATTTCATTGAGCACACAGAAATTCTCAGTAATATCAGCTGAATTAAAAATATGTCGAACAACTAAACATTCCACTCGATACAGTGCCATTCTTGCATCTGAAATTGAAGGAAACAGTTTCACAAACCTTGTCATTGATATCTGGTAATTTAGATATTTCGATTTTCCGGTAGAGATTTGGCTTATTTTTGGATTCAATGTCATTATCGTATTCATTCATGGTGACAATTTTGACTAGTGTATGTGAACATGATTCACAAACTATTGAATTTCATTTGAAAGGAATATTCCCAGATATATATCGTAGAAATCATCCATACTCGAAGTGGTCCAATATATTTTCAATGAAAAAGTCAATTAAACAGTACCCGGTTTCGGTACAACGGCCATCATCAGACTGCAGTACCTAAAATACATGGTGAATGTAGAAATGGTAAAAAATAATTGTCACAGGATAAACAAACCTCATAGAGTAACAATAAATAATACAAAAGTTAAAACATCATTGGCTTGATCATCAAGGCAAGTCGGGTGGAAATATGTTGAAAACGACTGAAGAGCCAGAAAAATCAGGCACTGATGAGGTTGAACATTGAAAAACTAAACTATTATACTACAAGTTCAAATCGTCTCCTGTTGACAGCCGTTTTAAACATAATTCCACCCGACATGCCTTGATGGTCAACCCAATGATGTTTTAACTTCTGTATTATTTATTATGACTGTATAAGGTCTGTTTTTCCTGTGACAATTATTTTTTACAATTTCTACATTCATCGTGTATTTTAGGTACTACAGTCTGATGATGGCCGTTGTGCCGAAACCGGTTACTGTTTAATCGATTATTTTTTTTTACATAAAGTGTGGTCGACCGACTTTGAGTATTTCAAATTTTCATTGATTCTCAGATATATTATGAACATGAAAAAAAAAAAAAATGGATACATATAAAGTAATACATGTGGATTCGCGTATCCGCTATGGTATATGTTTCTAGGAGTCATCTACATCAGCAAAGGATATTTTTCTGGCTAAAAAAAGCTCTAAGAAATATGATGGACATACCGAGCAGGGATTCCTGTAAGCTTTTTTTCATTAACTAGAAGATATTAACGCTACCCTGCCTCCTTATATATGAATTATGTATCTATGTATATGTAAACAAGCAAGTGTTGGCTTGCAACAGTGATTCTAAAATAGGTGGTCAAACTTTGGGAGCATATAGAGTGGGTGAAATAGTTACGAAAACCTCTGTAACATTTTTTTCTGAAGTGACCCCCAAGAAAGGGGGGCCTCGGAGAATGATTTTGTATTATTATCTCCAACACCTTGTATAATGAAAATCTGAAATTTTGTCCATCCACTTACTATTCAGTGCCGGTTCGAATGGAGTTGAAATCACCTCAAAATAAAATACGGGGGTGTATAAAAATAGGGAGGTAGGGGGTAAAAATAACCCCAACTTTTTTGTTCATCGCAATTTCAGTTTTTTGACATGAAATTATGAAATCTCAGGGCTATTTACATAGAAAAGGTGCTCTTGTTGCATCTCGATAAAATGAACTATTAGCGAATAAAATTTAAAAAAGGTCGTTTTTAACAATATTTTTTATTTTAGTATTTTCAATAGGATCAGACCATGATCACGAAACTCGTCGTCTATTTTCAATTCATGAATTCCGACAACGAATTCAAAATTTCCAACCCCAAAAACCCTTACAAACCAATTTTGAATCGAATCCAACCATAATCACAAATCCGGTCATTCATATTGGAGCCGCCATATTTTTTTCTATCAAAAAGTCCATAACGCATTGTCAACTGTCATATGCCAGATTCCAAGTTGATCAGACGATTAGAAGTAGGTAAAAATTCAGTTGCAAGATTTGAACTAAATCGATAAATAAACTCAGGTGCATACCAAAATTGCAATTTAAATGAAATCTTGTAAAAATAAATTTTATTCGCTAATGGTTCAGTTTATCGAGATTCAACAAGAGCTCCTTTTCTATGTTAATAGCCCTGAGATTTCATAATTTCATGTAAAAAAACTGAAATTGCGATGAACAAAAAAGTTGGGGTTATTTTTACCCCCTACCTCCCTATTTTGACACACCCCTGTATTTAATTTTGAGGTGATTTTAACTCCAATCGAACCGGCACTGAATAGTTAGTGGATAAACAAAATTTTAGATTTTCATCATACAAGGTGTTGGAGATAATAGTACAAAATCATTCTCCGAGGCCCCCTTTTGAGGGGCTGTATCTTTCTTGGGGGGTACTTCAGAAGAAAATGTTACAGAAGTTTTCGTGATTTATTTCACTCACTCTATATACTCCCAAAGTTTGACCACCTATTTTAGAATCACCTTGTATATGATGTGAATACTCGCTCAAGGAACGAATTCTATATTTAACTAAGCAGAACAATATTTTGAGTAACAAACCAAATATCTTGGATCCTGGAATATTCAAAAACTTACCCAAATATATGGAAAATGAAAAAAAAAAAAAATCTTTCAAAAAATGCTTGAAATAATTTGTCATAGAAAAGTGTTCCTACTGACTATGAATATTCTCATTTTCATAATTATTGACCCTCTTTTATAAAATGTTCGTCTATTATATAATCTGTCATTTATTTTGTTCATAGATTCACATTTTTGTAACAACTCCTCAACCTGACAATACCATTCACTCTTGTTGTAAAGTCTAAAGGAAAATAAAGATATTTATTCATTTATTTATCAATTACATTTGTTGAACACTCAAGATGAGGATATAAAAATGAAAATCTTCTGAAATTGAGAATTGACATTCTCTTCCAAATCGGATATATAATATGATGTGAAATTATATATGACATAAAAATATAACTTACCAATAAATACAGTATTGAAATGAAAATTAAGATATAAAGTATACTTGTACAAACTGAGCGTGAAGCTTCCAAAAATCATTCTTATCAGTGCTGTTTGGGACACATCGCTCACAAATATTGTTATGTTGATTGAAAATAAACTAACAAGTTTTGATGGCTTCTTTATTTATTGACTTCACTACAGACGACAATGTCTCTAGAGACATCGTAATAAGCTTGAAGGTTTCAAAAATCATTCATATCAGTGCTGTTTGGGACACATCTCTCACAAATATTGTTATGTTGATTGAAAATAAACTAACAAGTTTTGATGGCTTCTTTATTTATTAACTTCACTACAGACGACAATGTCTCTAGATACATCGTAAATAAATAAAGAAGCCATCAAAACATGTTAGTTTATGTTCAATCAACATAACAATAGGTTATGGGCCCAGGACGGATACGAAAATGAACTGTAAAGCTAGACAAGTTTTGGTGATATTGATTGCGTGAAACTCGTGATAGTTCAACATAACAATAACAAACAAGTTATATGAATTTGTTCACATGAACTCATTTAAGGTATCAAACCCTCCTCAAATAGCCAGGAAAGTAGTTGTTTTCTGTTGAATATTTCGATTGATATTATACACAAATATATTTTAATCTGAAAGAGAATGCAAATTCTCAACTTCAGAAGGTTTTATTTTCAAATTCTAATTGTGTGTGTTCAATAGATATAATACAATGTTCGTCCTGGCATATAGCCAGGAAACTAGTTGATTTCTGTTGAATATACCAAGAAAGAATTACTATTTTTATCAGATAGAGAATGCGAATAAAGGTATTTCTTTATATGTATTTTTTTTTTCATGTTTATAATATATCTGAAAATATTCCTTTTCATACCCAATCAAGGGACTTGAACGATGGTAATTTTCTTTTACAGACCTGTAATCACAGATTCGTGGCAGTTTGGTATCTAGGAGTATTTTTCAATGATAATATCAAATTTTAGTTAGTTTGTCTCTTTCGTGGGGGTGGCGCCACCTACATGTATTTTGAGTCTTTTGAAAAGTCATAACTTTTTTCTGCATACCTGTATCACGTGTTATAGTTGAAAAATAGATTTCTAGAGCACTCTATGTAAAAAATATATTCCTGGGAGAGGTCGCTGCCAGCAACTGTTTTCGAGTTATTGGGATTTGAAATAATCGATGCGATAAGTAAGTAAGTAAATATCAGAAAAGATACGCCAGTGCATCTTTCATTTTATATTCTCCTACATTCAACAGTGGAATGTAGACAAAAGATGATTCATACTTCTTTGTACCTACTTTTTTGGACTCTTCAAAAAAAAAAATAACAATCAAGTGAGTACTTGTCCTGTTATTTCAATCCGTTCTTGTGACAGTGAAGTTTGGTATTATTATCAGTATCAGATTGTAATAACACCCGATTCCTATTTTAAAGTGAAATTGGAGAAAAATAATTTCCCTTACTCAATAAATCACAATTTTGAATTCCAACTTGGCATTCCAAATTACTTGCATTGATTATTTCAAATCCCAATAACTCGAAAACAGTTGCTCGCAGCGACCTCTACCAGGAATACGTCACAATTCCTAACACATCCTTCACATCAATACAAAGATCACTTCCTCACAATTTGAAAATCGTCCTTACAAGTATAGCAAAAAAAATAGTTTTCTGGTTGCTAGATAATAAAATTTCCTACTGATTAGGTCTGTTAGGATAGTATGCATTGCATTAGATTTCATAATTACATTGTAACTATTTCTTGACTTCTATTGTAAACTGTTATAATTATCATTATTTTAAGTGTAGTTGATAATAGTTAAATAGTAATAATCAGTTACTAATTATTAAACGTAGCACACGCACATTCTTACAAGAAAATCGTGTGATACATGTTTATATTGTTGAAAAAACTACTATATGGAAATAAATAACTTTTTTTTAATATATTTTTTACACAACAGTGTCCTAGAAGTCTGTTTTTTTACTATCACGAACAAAAATTGAAAAACTAAAAAATTTCTTAGGAGGCCATGTTTTGGTATTTAGGCATAACTTTCAATTGTCAACAACTTTTCTCAATAACATTTTGCTGAATTCTCTAAAATAAGGGTAGTTTACTCTTGAGAAATTTTCATATTTTTTGACCTACCCTGTATGCTGTGTGACTTGCAAGCATTGTAAGTGCACCTAAAATGATTACCGAACATGCACCAACTTTCGGCACTATCTGTATTTTGGTTGTGCAATTCATTAAAAAGATTCCCATATGTTGCACACTTATGTTCATAATTATATGAGAATTTTCCTTCTCAATACTTTCACCCAATCAAGGGGTTCGAACTTGAACCATGGAAACTTGTTATTTTTATAGACCTTCAATCGCAGATTTGTGATTTGGTTTTCTCAATTCAGAAATTCTTTCCATGTCCTGTATGATGAATATCAATTTACCATCCAAAAACAATTGAATGAACATACTCATTGCAGCATTAATTTTATGATAGGTCATGTATTTTTCATTGGAATACTTGCAATATTTTTCTGATGAGAACTCATAAATTTAATTCAATTTCTGTGAGAAAATGAACACTTTCAACAACAGAAAGTTCTTATCTTATACATTTTTTCAATATTCAATAGATATAGTTTGAACATAAATTCATATCTCCAAACTAGGATCTTAGATTTTCTTCAATATTCAACAGATATACTTTGTGAACATATATTCTCAACCAAACCAATGATCTTGGATGATAAAAAATAAAATGTATTGACTCATCAAACACAGAAATTCCACAGCTGATATAAACACTCTCAATTCAAAGTATTCAAAATGTTTTGTAATTCATCTGATCATGTACTAATATGTACTTCATTAGTTTTTATGTAACATTCTATTCAAGATTCAAGAATGAATTGTACAGCAGTTTGGTTTCACAATTTCAAATAGTGAAGACAGGATCATTTAATATCACAATGGATATTAATTGATTAGGCCCAAATCATAGCATTGAGAATTCAATTATCACTGGATAAGAAGTATCTAAGACTTTGTCATGTATACATTGTTATCATTATAAAGGGTGTCCTTAAAAGATCTTTAACAAAAACTCACCACATATTCATCAGACCAAAACAATTAGTTTAGAGCAAATTCACCAAAGTATAAAGTTGAAGTTACAATTTTCTAATTGGTTTTGCTTCATAACTTTGAAATGGTTCATGAGATTTTACTCAAATTTGTTAGGTTGGCATAGCTTCAATGAAAAATGAAATCCATAACATGATCATGATAAATGTCCATGGGTGTACATCTTTTTTCAGTAAATAGACATCTAAAACTGTCAGATTGCATATTTGTTTACTTCAAAAAAGTTATTCCTGATAAAATTTGTTAACTCATAGTTTCTACAAAATTTAGATTTTAGCTCGGATTTTAGTAATTTGAAGCATAAGTTAACATTGAAACAGTTAACAGATGTCATGGAAATTGTTAAAATGTTCATCATTTTCACATAGTTATCGGATGAAAAAAATGGATACAAGCAAACTAAACTGAGTACAAAGCTGCTCAGTCTGGCTCACTTAGTAAAACAAATATAAAAAAATTGCACACACTAATACCTCATCAACTGGTTTCAATCAACAACCCATTTCATTTTGCGGAAACAAAAATTCCATCCATACAAATTCAGAATATGTCAAGCGCTAAAACCAGGCGATGACGAAAGGCGCAAGACATTCTGTGAGTGGTATACCAGGAAATGTTAAATTTGTGCAGATTTCTTTCGAACAATCATCTGGACTGATGAAAGCATGGTCACTAATCATGGTAGCTTCAATAGAAAAAATACACATTATTGTTCACGAGAAAATGAACATTTATACATTACAGCGAGACACCAACACCGTTTCGGCTTTAATATGTGGGTTGCAATATTTGGTACACGAATTATTGTTCCTTCTATTTACCATGAAACACAGACTTCCGAACGTTATAGAAATTCGCTTGAGAAACATCTTGAGGAAGCTCTGGATGATTTACCGATTGCGGAAGTTCAGAACTCTGTTGGTTTCAACAAGATGACGCTCCGGTACATAATTCCAGAGAAGTCCGTGCGTTTTTATCCCTTGGCCGGCGCGGTCGCCTGATTTGACACAGCTGGATTTTTTCTTAGGGGATATATCGAACTTTGTACACGCAAATAACTTTGAGGATGAAGAAGAACTAAGGGACAGTGTCTTCGAAGCATTCAATAGAATAACCCCAGAAATGCTTAGCAATGTCTTAGAAACAACTGTGAGAAGAGGATATCTTTGTTCAGAAAATAATGGTTATCATTTTGAACATTTGTTATGAATGTCTCTGTAGGTATTGTCAAAGTTAAGTTGTTAAAGTAATTCGTGTAAGAATTCATCAACAATTTTAAACTGCATTGATCGAATGATGTAGTGAAATATTTTTTATTCACTTTTCAGTATTGAATAACTAATCCATCAAGTTTGACACTAAATGATAAGAAATAAGTGGAACTGATGGCTTTTTTTCTTTTGGAAGTTCGAAAAAACATTGATGATGGATAGAAATAGGTCGAAACACATTCGAATCACCTTGTATAGTACATTGTTGAATTCAGAATAAAAAAACCTTTCAGAATCTGTGAAAAAATTATCAGGACCGTATTTAAAAAACAAAAGTTGATGATGGTTCCACGAATACGAAACGTCGCGTAAAAAAATCGGTATCACCACGTTAAATCTCATCAAAAGTTGCAATGAAGAAGTATTTTCAGTTTTTCTGTATCTCTGATAATAACGGAGAAAAAAAATAAAATAGAAATTCCAAAAATTCACTTTTTTCGATATAACTCGAAAACTAAAAATAATTTTCAAAATTTTCGAAGGCTCTTGATATGAGCCTACGAATGCGCAACTTTTTCCCCATTTAAGCGACTTCGTATCTCCTACCGTTTCCGAGATCCCCATGCTGTTCAACCTTATCTTGGACAGACTGTATATTTGTTTAATCATTTTATTGTTAACTTCAAATTACTAAGATTCAAATTTTGTGTAAACCATAGGAGTAATCAAATTTTATCAAGAGTACATTTTTTTTAAGTAAAGAAATTACACAATCCAAATTGGATATTCAAACCCCTTTCTTCACATTGGTGTAGAAGATTTAGATATTTATTTACTGAAAAAAAGTCAAGTTCTATGCCCATGGAATAATATTAATCATGGATATTATGTGTTTTATCACCAAAAAGTTATGCCAACATTCCAAATTTAAGTAAAATCTAATGAGCCCTTTCAGTTATTGGGCAAAACTGATTAAAATATTGTAACTTCAGAGCCATTTAGTGCCCAAACTATTCAACTTCCTCTTAAATGGGATTGTTTTCTACTGAGAAATATGTTGTAGATTTTTGTAAAGACTTTCTAGGGACAACCTGTATATCAATATAATATTCACCTAAATGCCTTTTTCAAGAACTCCACATTATCACATTCTTCAGAGCATTTTGTTATACTTGCTAACTCTGGAATGTTTGCACAAAATTCTCTTATTTCACTAATTGGTCTGAAACCACATAATGCTTCGAAGGGTGTTAAGGCAATGGCTAACTCTGGTTTATGATTGGGATCCTTATAAATATCAGGAAACTTGGAATGCAGTTCTTCAGCATGTGTTTTGGAAGGATGTGCTTGAATTGATAAAGCTTTGTTAACTGATAATACCTTGAATAAGAAAGGTAGTTCATTTTTAAATATTCTAGTTACTTCTAGGCCTAGTGAACTGGGGTTATTCTTTATGTAGGAGCTTAGATTCTCTTCAGTGTCCTTTATTTGTGAAGGTGCATTTACATGTGTTCCCATCCATAACTCAGCATATGGAACATCTTCGTCTATCACGAATTTCTCGTTAACATTACCATATAATATAGCTACTTTGCTTTTGGAACCCTTCTTTCCCCATTCATAATTCTGGATCTTGCATTTTAGTTCCATTTCGGATTTTGCACAACAGACTTTCAATGACCTTTGGAAACAAATGACAAATAGTAAATTTAAGGCACCGTCTACACAACCGCCAAGGCGGTTGGATACTGATACATAAAGAACCGCCGGCGGTTACATTTTTTTTTTATATAAAAGACCGCCGTGAAACACATTGAACTCAATGGTTGTTTTATTGTTTACATTGAGTTCAATGTTGAAACTTGACGAAGGAAATAGTACAGGGTGGAGCATTAGTGCGTCGGAGCACAGTGTCGGAGCTCGATTGCTCGAATTCTATGATAGCTAGAAACTCGATCCAAAAACGAATGTGAATGAGACAACAAGGTCAATAACTAGAAATTATTGCCGCATATACAGGGGACACCGGGAAAAATCTAGAGGATCAGGATCACTTTTTAAAATGGAATGCCCTGTATATTAGCAAATTTTTTGAAACATCCCTGTGACCTCCAACCACTCCTATAATATTGTTGACTATATCTCGATCATTTCAAAGTTATTAATTTTTTTGGCGAAATAATGTCATCTTCAGATGCATACCGAAAAAATCACTGTAGTCACAATTATGAAATTCAAGAGAGAATAATCATAATACCATTTGATGGAAAGATGCGTGATATTTTTGTAAAATTTTCATGCCCTCAAATTATACAGGGTGGCTATTAATGATTTTTCAATTCAGAACTTTTGGAAGTGATTTTTCCCTGTATAATTTGAGGGCATGAAATTTCTACAGAAATATCACACATGTTTCCATAAAAAAATATTATGATTATTCTCTCTTGAATTTCATAATTGTGACGACAGTGATTTTTTCGGTATGTATCAGCAGATGACATTATTTCGACAAAAAAATTAATAATTATGAAATTAGCGGGATATATTCAACAATATTATAGGAGTGGATGGAGGTCACAGGGATGCTTGCAAAAATGTGCTAATATATAGGGCATTCCATTTTAAAAAAGTGATTCTGATCCTCCAGATTTTTTCCGGTGCCCCCTGTATATGAAGCAATAATTTCTAGTTATGGACCATGTTGTCTCATTCTCATTCGTTCTAGAATCAAGGTTCTAGCTATCATAGAACTCACCCTGTATATTACATACCAAGGAAGAAAGATATTCATTCCTGTCGTGAGATTAGTTAGTCATGATCTCGAGACAGGAATGAAACTTCCTTCCTATTTTATTACAACCATCATATTTCGATCAAAATTAATAAACCTCTGTTTTACATAAGTGAGGACGCGAAGTGAGGGCGGGAAGTAGAGGTGTGTAATGTGACCACTACATCGTGAATGTGACACTTCCCAACCTTCAATATTGAGTTCATAGGTCGCGTGCACGAAGACCGACCCTGGAGGCAAAATATCGAAACACAACCTCATTCTTCTGTGAATTATTGAAACACAACCTCACTTTTTTATTTGGTTACAGAGGAATCAAAAGGTTGAAATAGTTTTTCACAATATTTTGGCATACGAATCGTGTTTCTTGCGTTATCCATTAATTCAAGCATGCCTTCGCATTGTGTGCTGTTGCCTGTGGAAGTATTCCCAACAACATATTATAATCTCCAAAAGTTCAAAAAAAATTCCAATACCTACCTTCTGTCCCTATCCTCCCTAGGAACGCGCGATGTTCTTTGAACATTATAGGGATTCCCTTTCGTGAGCTCCAAGCGATAAAAAAAAAAAAAAAAAATGCACAAAAAATGCAGCAAGAGACTAGGGAATATGATTTTTCAGGTAAATAGTAATCTCACATAGTTATCATTATGAAATGTTGTCATTCCTTATTGAAATTCCTTCTGCCACTTCTGCAATACAAGCTAATGCTGCTAATAGATTGAAAATGTCTACAACACACACGATCGTCAGCATGTCAGACCAGTCCTACCGATTGATTGCATGAATCCAATCTTCTTGCATTATTCTAGAAATTTCAGGTATATTTCTATTAGCTGATCCTATTGCAGAAGGAATTCCGATGAGAAATCAGAGAAATAACCAAATTTCAAAAATGAAAACTATGTGAGTGACTATAGTAGATACTTACTTTTGAATCATAATGTACCATCCGGATTTCTTCATCTTCCGCTGCAGTTTTTGTGCATTTTACAACAGCACAATGTGATGGCATTAGCGAATTGATGAATAGCGGAAAAATACGATTCATATGCCAAAATAATTGTGGAAAACTATTTCGATCACTTGTAAACAAATATGTTTTGCCTCCAGGGTCGGTCATCTGACAGTTCTTGCACGCGACCTATTGCCTTCAATGACGTGAGTAATGACAACATGACATATTTGGTTGTAAATAAATATCGGTTCTGCATTCTGCATGAAAAAGAATGATACTCTTAACCTTACCCGGCCTATCAGAACCTTTTTTTCTGAAAAGTACATTTTTCGAACAATTACATGAAAAAAAAAGGCCTCGCAGGGGTTATATAAACCCAAGTCACCACCGTGGTAGTCAGATAGACAGGCCACTGAGCTATCGCCTTGATCGAAAGAATACTCACTATAAAGAAGGAAGAAATATTGTCACGAATTCCACTTTGCTTTTAGACTTCCGCATGCGTATAACGTTGACCGATCGATGATGAATATGTTTTGTACATTATGTTTGCAGTAATTACCATAGCAAAGTGAGCTACGTGCGTGCGTTTAGATGAGGAGATCCCGGGTTCAAATCCCTACTGACCTTACTCAAACTACCCTTTTTCTATTTTCCTCAGTGGAAAAAGAACTGTGGATGCATTCACTGTTGAGGGCGATAGTGAATCGCTATATCGAATATGTTTTTTGTCAGGGTCGGCTGGAAATTTTCATTGTTTGGAAGTCTCAAAGCAAAGTGGAACCCGTGTCGCTAGCCGCCTTTTTTATGTATCAGTATCCAACCGCCGCGGCGGTTGTGTAGACAGTTTACCGATAATCGAGGTTAGGTTCTGCTTCTTCTATTTTCTTGTGCCTTTCGTTAAACCTAAGGTCTTTATCCAGTTAGGGTAGATACATCTACTTATTTCTTCGTCTTCTGCTTCGATTGCCAAACTGCTGTACAGGGTAAATCCGTATAATAATGGAAATAAGTAGATGATGTACTAACTGATGCGCTTTAGTTTCAGAAATTCTCGATCTCTCGAGAACAATGGTTTTGGCGATCTTCTAATAGATGGCGACAATACACAATCATGACATCTGTCAATTTTGAAATTGTGTCAGATTTTTCGATACAAAAGTTTCAGGATTTGTTCTGAACCTCCAGAAAATTGTACGACGTGAAATAAATGAATATCGCTGATAGAAGAAATGGATAATGGGTACCAACTTCGTTATTTTCAATATAAAAACCTATATATTTTTCTAAAAAGTTGAATATCTTTCTTTTCTGATTCCAAAAATATATAGGTACCGTTGTTGATATCCGGTTCAGCAGTTCATGAAATATTCGAGGGCGAACATTTCAGAATTAGTTGTAGTTTTATTTCACCAAATCGCAATTGCCATGAAGAATCAGGCGCGTATACCAGACGATCGAAGAAAATTCAAAAAAGCCGCTGTGATTTTGTCATTATGACAGCGAAAAAGCTTCCCAAAATTTTCCAGCGACAAAAGGGAAACTAAACATTTGAAAGCATGATGACAACCAAAATTGTTAACTAATAATATTTAATGGTGTTTATGTATTTTTTTCTCATACTTGGTTTGCCAGAAAAGTGTATATTTAATATCTCGAAATATCGTGATTCACAGTCTCATCGAGTGGAGAAATTGAAGAAACCATCAACAATTATGTGTTTTACTTATTCATTAAATCGTCTTACTAAATTAAACTTGAGCATTCTTTTTGGGTGGAAGTGAATTTGAAATTAATATTTTGATATTTCATTGCCTTTAGGAAATTTAAATTTCCAGGTGAATAAAACAAACCTCCGCGCCAGGAATTAACCCCACCCCTTGGAACAATTCTGTATATATATATGAGCCTGTGAAGAATGAACAACACATGCAGTTTGTCATTAATCAAACTTTCTGATATATTTTCTTTGCGTATGTGTTGTTGATTCTTCATGGCAACAGCGATTTGATAAAACCAAATTGTAACTAAAAGATCTACAACCTCGAATATTTTGAAAACGGCTGAAAAAAACCTATATATTTTTGAAATCATAAGAGAAAGTTCTCTATACGGTGTTCCATAGAAAATAACGAAGTTGGTACCTATTCATTTGTTTCACTTCGAACAATTTACTGGAGGTTCAAAACAGACCCTACAATTTTTGTGAAAGAAGTTTTTTTGTATCTTCAATGATAAACCCTGTAAAAGAAGTTTGAATATACGGAATGAACTGTACTTTACTCTATTTTGATTTATTCATATTTTATAAGAAGGTACATGAGAAAAGTGCAGATGCTGAATATACAGTTGTGTCACATTATATCAAAATGGTAAAATGAATCGCTAGTAAATAGTAAAAGGAAAATATGGAGAAAGTTATGAGGAACTCCACTCACCGGCAAAAAAAACGGTCATCAAAAAAATTAGCTAAATTGTTCGCCCTGTAACTTTTTTGATTCTTGTCCATTTTTGGTAAAATTTCGACCACATCGTATATTCATTTTCCGAATGTTAGCCTAAATATCAGGTCTTAAGACACCCAGCAAACACTGGGCAGGAACTGTGAAGTACTATAGAAGTAATTTTGCTATTAACATCCGCGTGCGATGTTCAAAAAACAACTCACGCTCTTATTTGCAGCGAAATGTCTGCGACATCAAGTAAGCATTTCATCAATTGTGTTGTTCAAATTGAAATTTGGAAAAATATCCCAAATAAAACATATATCCGTATAATCACTGTGGGAGTTTTTGAGGCAATAAATGTATTTTTAATAACCACATTGGACCCATTCATACGAGGATTCTCTGAGACTTCTATTCTATTACTCTTGATATGGCGATTTTCTCAAATAGACTTCGTCGCAATGTTTTTCGATGACGATCTTTTCAACAAGAAATTTAACACATTTTGTGGTAATAACATTGTGGTTATTTATTTTTACCCTG